AAAATTTCTCTTGCTGAAGCGGAAGGGGTGCGATGGACGGAAACAAGAGAAAGGCGATTATTTTTTTCGGTGTAAAATTACGGAGCAGACCTTGGCACTAGGCGGGAGAATTTTCTCTCTCCAATGTAGTGCTTTTAGGTATAGGATGTTCAGATCTACTCCTCATGAAAAAGTTTTATACTCATTTTATTTTATTTGATTTCTACTTTATGCCGTTTCTCGTAGTATCTTGTTGTCTGATGTCATCAATATGACACTTTCAAGGAGAAAATCACATCCTAGTTCAAGGATGTTGGCATTGTTTGGTAACAATGGTTAGCGGTTAGCAGTTAACGGATTATGTTAGCGATTTTGACTGGCGGATTGATTTGGCGTTTTGACCGGCTGATTAGAGCAGTGGATAATTTAAAAAGTGTTTGACTAATTAGCGGTTTGGATATAGCTAGACAAAATTACATATAAGGGCTTCTCTTCAATTAAAAAAAAGGAAAAATTGATAGTAATAATCCCAACTATTGGCGGTCCGCTTATAATAATCCCAACTATTGATTATTACAGAATAATTCCAACTTTAGGGACCTTCCGCCAATAATGGTCCCTATGAATAAATTCTTGTAGTTTCTAAAGTGGATGAGATGAGATATAACAAGTAATCCCTATAAATAATCTCAACTTTTAATTTTTACGCTTAATTTCTATTTAAAATTCAATTTTTATAAAGGTAATATATGGTCATGGACCATTATTGGCGGATAGTCTATATAGTTGGGATTATACAAAAATAGTTGAGATTATTTTCAGCGGACCGGTAATAGTTGGGATTATTATTTTCAATTTTTCCTTAAAAAAAATGCATCCATCGATTTTTAGTATTATTGTCACTATGTTACGTATATGTGATTTGTTGTTTAGTATATACAATACGATAGTATAACATACGTAGTGTAGCATGACATGTGCCATACGTAATACGGAGTCTAACACATTAACACAAGTGCTGGAGGGGACCCACATAAATAAAAATGAAATTCACACTTATTATTCCGTATTTGTGTTGCTGCAACAGGCCTGATGTTAAAACGGACTTTACATATGTTTATCGAAACGGCAGAACTCAAACGCTGCTATGAGCAGCGTGTTGGATTTTGGCGTTTCAGAATCAAATCGCTGCTCCAACCAGCTCTTTGTCAAACGACCATTCTCAACAGTTTGATCAAAGTCAAACCGCCAACACCATTTGAAACGCCAAAAATGATGGATCCGCCATTATCCAAACATAGCCATTGACTTTAACATTGAACAATTACTATAAAAGATTATGAAGTTTTGTTTAAAAAAAACCTTGAGAACATTTTTTTAAATATTACTCCGTACTATGTATATTTATTCTACTTAACAAGCATTAGATAACATCCTACTAAAGGAAAATGTTTTTGTTTACTCACTAGGCTATATAAGAATCCTAAAAATAATAATTAAGAAAAGAATTGAGAAGTACGATACGACTCTTTTAGTATGCTAGGATATTTTTATTTTGATTGAAATTTGGTAGTCTGATCTGATCTGTTTAAGTTTGGTCTGGTCTGCTCTGAACTAGTCAGGTATGATAAATGTCTGGTTACAATTCTATGTACTTCGTATTTTATAACTATGAAAATCTGATCTGGTCTAATATTTTTTTATCTGGTCTAATATGTTTAAGTGTGGTCTGATTTGATCTGTTTAATTTTGGTCTACTACAGAAAACAATTCAAATAAAATCATTCTTAGTTCTAGGCTGCAGAATAACTCGTAAAAAAGTATGTTTGAATCGTTTGATAAATTGGTAAAAACTGCTCTAGCATATATTGATGCTTTTAAAGGTATTTGACAAATTCGTCAAGAAGCTCCGCCCACATGAATAATTTGGTATCAATTTTTTAAAAAGAGTATATATAGTTAATCGATTTGAACACATCCCTACACCAAAGATTATGCCTAATACAAAAACATTCACAACTTCTCGATATTATTATTATTATTATTATTATTATTATTATTATTATTATTATTATTATTATTATTATTATTATTATTATTATTATTATTATTATTATTATTATTATTATTATTATTATTATTATTATTATTATTATTATTATTATTATTATTATTATTATTATTATTATTATTATTATTATTATTATTATTATTATTATTATTATTATTATTATTATTATTATTATTATTATTATTATTATTATTATTATTATTATTATTATTATTATTATTATTATTATTATTATTATTATTATTATTATTATTATTATTATTATTATTATTATTATTATTATTATTATTATTATTATTATTATTATTATTATTATTATTATTATTATTATTATTATTATTATTATTATTATTATTATTTTTATTATTTTTATTATTATTATTATTACTATTACTATTACTATTACTATTACTATTATCATTACTATTATTATTATTATTATTATTATTATTACTATTAATATGATTGTAATTATATTATAATTGTATTCAAATTACAATTACAATTACAATTATAACTATAATAATTGTAATTATAATTATAGAAATATTCAAATAAAATCAGACCAGAAATATTCAGATTAGATCAGAAAGATTCAGATCAGATCATAAAAATTCTAATCAAATCAGATCAGAAAAATTCAGATCAAATCAGAACTTAAAAAATTCAGATCAGAAACATTCAGATCAGATGAAGAGAACAACTTCCAATTTGAGAAGTAGGGCGGATCAAGGGCAATTGTGCATCACCGGAGGGGATGCATTGATATGCAGCGCAATATGAGTGACGGCTTCATAAATAAACACCTTTAAATAAGAACACAAGCGGCATTTAATTATTTTTCTATCAAATGAAAAATAATTTTTCTAGTACGTGAGGCACTTAGGATGTTTTTACTTGGACTATTTTCAATCCCAGAACAGAACAGACCGACTTAAACAGACCAGACCATATTTAAACAGACCAAAACAAATCAAATGTTTGGTAGCCCACTCATAGATGCCTATTTCCCATGGAACAAAATCTAAAACTTCGTCCCGATGATGGTAGCCCACTCATAGATGCCTCCCTCTACCGCAGATTAATTGGGCGACTATTATATCTCACTGTGACTCGTCCAGATATAGTCTACTCAGTTAGTCAACTTAGCCAATTTCTCAGCTCTCCACGCCAAACACATCTTGATGCAGCTATTCGTGTGCTTCGTTATTTGAAGCAAACACCTGGTCAAGGCATTTTTCTATCATCCGATAGTGATATCACCTTGACAGGTTATTGTGATGTTGATTGGGCCGGATGCTCTTTTACTCGCCGATCTAGCACTGGCTATTTTATCACCCTTGGAGCTTCACCTATATCATGGCGGACAAAGAAACAATCTGTTGTCTCTCGCTCTTCTGCTGAGGCAGAATACCGCGCCATGGCTGTAACAGTTAGTGAAATTCTATGGTTACGATGGTTGCTACGTGATCTTACAGATCATCAACAACATCCGACATTACTTTACTGTGATAATCAGGCTGCACGACATATTGCGCTTAACCCAATATTTCATGAACGTACCAAGCATGTCGAAATGGATTGTTATTTTGTACGAGAACGTGTTGCTAGTAATGAGATCCAGCCAAAATTCATTTCAACAGAAAATCAAGTGGCCGATATATTTACAAAAGCATTAGGGGCAGACCGTTTTCAGTTCCTTCGTAGCAAGTTGGGTGTTCGTGACCTACACACTCCACCTTGAGGGGGAGTATTGAAGCCTACGTGTGTTTACTATTCCATATATGTATTGAACTAGTTGACTAGAATTATTATTTGCATATTACTTGTATTATTGTATGGCCCATGCAACTCTTTCCTAGCAAGCACTCTTCATACTCATTGTATATATTATATATGTACGTAGATGTAATGATAAAATGAGAAGGAGAATTCCTCCACTATTCTTCACGTATAACTTCCGCACTTATTTTAGTATTTTAGTTTCATTCTCATTCTCAATTAAATTTATCACAGTTAAACAAACTTTTAAATATAACTGTATTTTTAATATATATTTTGGTGCAATCCAGTCACAAGATCCTCATTCTGCCTTGAGCCACACTTAAAAATCTTCGTAAATGGGTTGGTTTCTATTCAGCCAAAAGGTGTGTTGATTCCTAGTCAAAAGGTCGATCTCCAATCCGTTCAGGCCGCCAAATTTCCATATTCTTTCAGGGCGTTAAACCATCTGGAGAGAAATTGCAAGTCCCAACTTAGATCGTCACTCGATTATGTGAACGTTGGTTTTCACCGTGCTCCCTTACCCTTCCGCCACCATCCCCATGTTATTTATATGTATTCGATTTGATCATGTCTTTCATTATTTTGTTTCATTCCAAGTATTATATTTGTTGGAAGTATCTTATCAAGCTCTAAAACTTGTTTCTAAAGTTCATTTAAAAAATATTAAGACAAAATTCAAGAAAATAATTCCAACTTTTATGCATTCTAAAATAATAATTAATCTCTGCTGAGAGTTTCCATAAAAATAATATGTGCTAGCAAAAGTGTCTACAAGAACAACTTACGGTGAATTCAAACTAATGCCAATTTAGTACACTCAACTTGTGCCTCCACTTTCACCTTTACCGCAATTCATCTCAGTTAACACTTTTATGTTCTAACCTAGAGAGATCCACAAATGGTGTTGAGATTAAACGAGTTTTAGTTTGAATTTGCCCCGAGAAGAAGAGTATGGAAGAGAAAAGTGAGAGTATTGAGAGTATTAAACAAACATTAATTTGAATTCACCCCAATTTAATCTAAAATCTTATAATTGCCAATGAGGGTAAGGGTATTTTAGGAATGAAAAAAAATTGTTGCGGTAATCATGTAGCTTAATAGAGCGGTAAATTCTGTATTACCATGTGTACCATATTAAAGGAACTTAACTCCTCGTTTTGCTTCCGTGAATTATCGCTACCATCCCTCCATCTCCGTCTCTCTTCATCGGCTTGAATACACTGTCCATTTTCTCTGTCAGCGGCTTCTAACAGTGTCCTAACCTCACAGAGCTGATCTAATCGTATCGGTGTTACGCTGATAATCATCCAGGTGTGTCGTTTTTCCGTTTTCTCTGTATGTTTCGTGCGGAATTTTGGCCATCTCCACCATTTTTCTCTACCAGATTATGCAATATTGTGCCTGAATTTTTGTTTCAAGGTATAGTGCAGTCCTCTCTATGTTTAAAGAAGTTTTGGAGTTCTACGCACTTATCTATGTAAGTAATTTACCACACCAAATTGTTTACCATTTATTTAACCAAAGGGTTCTGTTATTTGTAATAGTTCTCCTGTTGGGTTGGTTTATTCATAATATAGAGTGTGTCATTAAAACTTAATGTTAAACTGTGTAAGGTGTAAAATTTTCGTGAACTGTGAGTCTAAAATTGTGATGAGTTCGTTGACAAAATTAGCATGCTCATATCATCAGTTTTTAAAGATTTAGTTGAATGAGTCTTCTTTAATTTTTGTTAGACAAACTTTTGGGATTAAAAGGGAATCTTATTAGCACAATGTCTTTTCGTGGAAATGCCCTTATGTTCACCTCAATTTGAATGTAATGTTCTTTTATTTTATTTGCTTTTTACATTCTTGTTTACATTATTATGTTTATGACATTTCACGTTTAAGCGTATAATTTGTAAATACGGAGTACCTTTTTTGGTATGGGAGGAGTGAGAGTAACATGAGTAAGTTTTAATTGCCTTAAATGTGTTGTAAACTTAAGCCACAACACCAATTCCTAAGAGCATCTCCAATGCTAGAATGTGCATGTTGCACATGTGGCATGAGAGATAGCCACATAAATATTAGTAAATAAATTATTTCTCTTCTTATTTGAATGATTGTATACAATTTTGGTATGTTTTTCCCTGCAATGTCAACTGCAATGTCAACATCTAGACGGTCTCCTTGACATTGTGGAGAAAAACTTACCAAAATTGTATAAAATCATTCAAATAAGAAGAGAAATAATTTAATTACTAATATTTATGCGGTTATCTCTCATTCCACCTGTGCACCGTGCACATTGTAGCATTGAAGATGCTCTAAGGCCCACTACTAGGCTTTCTATTCTCTGTTTGGGGCCGGTTAACCGTCCCCATCCTTTGTAATTTTTAAGTTCCTTTGTGATTCTTAAGTTCACGTCCTCTGTCACTCTGTTTGGTGTTTATTACACACACACATATCTTTTTGAAAATGTGACATCATGTGTGATAAACCTTTTTCAATTTTCAATAAACCCAACTAATATGCCTCTTTTTTATTTGAGAGTTGTCCTTTACTTTTTTGGCACAGCCTAATGTAACCCAAGTTATATCCTTACATATATGTGTATTTATGAAGGGATATAGTTGCACACATCTAAATGTAACGGTCCTAGATCACCCAGATGCAATACAGAACATCTATGGTCCTCAATACATGCTTCAAGAGTTTGTAGACATGAGATTTACTCAGATGGATATGGTAATCTTTTTTCAGGATATGTTGTTTTGCTTATCACTAATGCACTATTTATCGATCCCTTGAGCCTTAGCTGGGTTTAAAACACGGCAGGGAAGGAAGATAATAGAGTTTAAGAATATTTTATGTTTCATTTAGACTAAATAAATGTGTGTTTCATTTGGTGCAAGTCCGTTCATTACTTCATTTAGTGAAGGAGAATAATTGCGCAATGAAATTGAAAAGGCAAAGAGGAAAGCTAATGACTTTTAAAAATAAGCTTACGAAGCTAATGAAATAAATAAAGTGCTGATTAAATAGGTGGAATTTTTCGAAAAAGAAGTAAGAATCATGAAGGGTGTTATGGAAAAGTTTTTCAACGTTATGGGAAGCGGTTTTTCGAAGTTACTTCGTATTTTTGAATGAGGTAATTCATTAGTTTATATTCATTATTTTCAGTGTTTTCGTTACCGAAAATATATACTTCTCTACTATTATGTGATAGGTTGATAAGGAGCATAATAAAGTCCATGGTGATGATGATGATGTTGGTGGTAATGATGGTGATGATGATGGTGATGCTCCAGTTGATGCTGATGGTTACAGTGATGGTGATGTTGATGATGATTATGATAAACAATCTTCCTTAAGCAACAATTTTAGCTTTTAGATTTACTTTGTCCCATCTTAATGTTTTTAGAGTTGCTAAATTAACTATATCTATTTCCTTTTTTCATAAGTTGTGGAGTTCAAATGACTTTGATAAAATTATTGTTGTAATTACTTTTTAGTAATAAATTTGAGTTGGATTTTGACTTTCTATATTATTTCACAAAACAATCATTTTCTTAACTATGTAGTTTATTAGCTTTATTAGCTATTTATTTACGTATCTAAACTACAATAAAAACATTTTCTATATCAATAAATTGAGGCAAAATGATATAGTTTTCTTTAAATGTATATTTTTTAAAACATCAATATATGGCTGCCTCTAAACAGCATTCCCAACAATTGTAAAAGTTGTCTCACAATATTATTTATAGAACAATGTAATATAGCCTCTAAAAATGTCTGAGGTGAAAGGATATGATTTCTTCTAAATATACCTTTTAGAAGTGTATCATTTGTTTCCTCTAAGTGAGTTTTTAGAGGCAAACATCATATAGTGACCGATTTTTATCGGCAACCACTGAATTGCCCCAAAATAGCATTATGGGCTACTTTCTGATATGATGGTCCCAAGTGAGGTAAAAGTCTAGAGGGGAGGGGGGGGGGGTGAATAGACTTTTAAATCTTTTCATTTTTCAACCCTTTTTTCCTCTAACAAAATGAGTTCCAATATCTTTTGGGAGACATTGATACATACAACGAAAGTTTTAACCTCAATAGTGTGACACTTTATAGTAACAAAGGTTATGACCCTTTTAGTTGTGAAAAGATGAATGAAACAAAGCACAAATGTGTTTTCCAGAATGCCAGAACCTGAAGAAACAAACTGCCAGTTTACTGGGAGCTGGAAGCTGAAATGTTCAGAAGCAGGCTGCCGAATAGGGATACTGATTCAATGGTTAAGATATACCAAGGAACTATACTCTAACACATTGATGGGCTTTTAGAACAGGCTTAACACATAAGTATGAAGGAATTAGACCTGTAGAAATAGATCACTTTGATGAACAAGGAAGGCTTAACACAGAAACAAGGAATTTGATTCACAGTGAACTGGAAAGTTCACTAGATAATTTTTGTGAGCAAGTTGATTTTCTAGGAAGTTGTGAAGGTGAGTGAGAACTGTAGTGTGTATTGGGAGCTGAATATAAAAGGTAACACAAGATATATCCTGGTTCAGAGGTGGTGTAATCCTCCTACTTCCAGTCCCAACCTATTTCAGATGGATTTCCACTAAATGAATATCCCATTACATTTAGTGCCCAATCTATCCCTGGCACAGACATAGATTGTGAGGTTTTTCGCAAGGAATTTGAACACCATTCCAAGCTACTC